GGGAACAGTGTGTGCTCCCCACCCTGCCCCTCACTGCCACCTCGAGGCCATGGTTCTTAGCGGCATGCCTGCTGGCCAGCAAAACACCCAGGACAGGGGAGGACCCGGTGCGGGGAGGGGACAGCAGGCTGCCACAGAATTGCGTTTTCTTCCTCCCTGTGCTCCAGGTAAATTTGAGCCACCACTGTTTCACCCGAACGTGTACCCTTCGGGAACAGTGTGCCTGTCCATCCTCGAGGAGGACAAGGACTGGAGGCCAGCTATCACGATTAAGCAGGTATGGGGTGTGGGGAGCTGGCCTCAGCCTTCCTGTGGGGCCAGAGGACGGTGGTCTGGCTCCAAAGCTGGGGCCGAAGTCCTAGGAAAGCTTGCCTTCCTAACCACTGAGCTCCGTGTTCTTTTGTCTCTTACACAGATCTTGTTAGGAATACAGGAACTTCTAAATGAACCAAATATCCAGGACCCAGCTCAAGCAGAGGCCTACACGATTTACTGGTTAGTACTGGTCTGGCCCCACTCGCTGTGGCCGCACGTTGGCTTGCACGCGCTTGCCTGGAAATCCTGTCCAGGCTGCCGCCCCTGACGGTCTGCTTGGATGGCCCTGAGCCTCGAGCCGTGAGCGGGGGACCGAGTGAGGTGGTCAGGGAAGCATCTGAGGCCAGCAAGCAAGCAGGCAGGCCCTGTGGGCAGCAGCAGCTCTGTGTGCGAAGAGCCTGTGGTGGGCGAGAACGGCTGACCCGGGCTAGTGTGACCACAGCGCTGTGGTAGGGGGGCGGTCAGGAGGTGGAGGTCACGGGACAGGGCTCCCATTGGCTCCTTTGCCTGATAAGCTGTGGCCAGGCAAACCAGGTGCCTCGGTGAACCCCAGTCCAGCTCAGAGGGCAAGGCCCCCAGGTGTGGGTGCCGAAGGAGGCATGTCCCGTAGCATGGCTCTGCGGGGGCCCCACACCTCCCACCGTGGCCCTCCTGCTGACCCTTCCAGGCCTGGGTGTGGGCTATAGGGGAGCAGCACGCCTGGCTTGTTCCTGGTCACCCAGCTGCCATGATGTGCCCACCAGATGCCGGGCGTTCGCTCCTCGCCCCAGCCCTTCCTGCGTTAGCACTGTGGTGCCCGCCTGGGCTGAGGGAGGGAGGCCTGGGGTGGCTCATGGGGAGCGACAGGTTTAAACCCGTGGGCCTGGCCTGGTCAGCAGCAGGGAGAGCCCTTGCCCCTGAGCAGAGGCCTCACGGTTGTGGGTCCTGGGTCCCCTGGCTGTGCCAGCCGGCCTCCTGGGCTGGTCTGGGTGGGGATCCTTATGCCAGGTTGGGGGCTCTGACCCCCCACTGCTCTACATTCGGAAATCTGGGACCGGCGGGGCTAGCATACAAGGGAGAGGCCGGGCAGGGATGTGTTCCTTCCAGGGGATGTTTCTGGAATCAGCCGTGCTGAGGGTCAAAGCCGAGGTCGGGACTGTCCTGTGGCCGCTCTGGGCAGTGGCAGATGACATGTCCGGGGACCAGCTGAGAGAAGTGCCAGGTTGCAGGAGATGCATTTCTCCCCGCCAAAAATGGCTTCAGGGCCCTAGGCCCAGGCCAGTGTTGGCCAGGGGCAGCAGGACGCTCCAGCCAGGGCGGGCCCGCGTCCGCAGTGGGGCTCAGCGGGAGGCCACGTGTCCTGTTGGCGGCTGTGCACCAGCGACTTCGGAGATCTGTCCCCCTGCCCTTCTCCCCGACCTGGGTGCTGTGTGATGTCACCGTGACCTCCGTCCACAGTGGCGCCGTGGCCCAAGCCTCGTGGTATACAAGGCCTCTCAGGACACACCACGTTCTCGTGACCGGGTGGCCTGCAAAGCTGAGCTCCCCGTGGCCTTCAGAGGGCTTGCTGGCCCTGGCGTGCGCCTCGTCACGGGTGACGTGTGCGGGGGCTGGCGGTGGCCGCGGTGGCCACCCCGTGAGCAGCGCTTCCTGTGCCTGCGCTGCCAGCACCGGGGCAGCGGGACCGGGGGCTCGCTGTGGTGCACCAGGCGGCGCGGCGGGGTATGTGGCCACCTCCCCGGGGCTGCTGGCGTCTTCCCCGCCCCCGGGCGACCCCCCGCCAGCCCTGTCACGCCCTCACTCCCCTCTGAGAGCAACTGGAGCACGTCAACGTGGCGTTGGGGCTGCCGCAGGCCGCAGTGCCTCCCCTGCCGGACGGCACAGCTGACGTGGCTGCCGCTGCCCCGGGGCCTCGGGGCCGGGCCGGGCCTCAGACAGGTGTCCTGTGGCTGCGACTCCGCTCTCGGTGGCCCAGGCACGTGGCTGCCTCCGTGGTGCACACGCTGGAGCCTCTTGCCAGCTGAGGGACGTCCTCTCGGGGGCCCTTTGTCCCTCCACCTTGGGAGCCCCTGCACACCCCGGGGCCTGACAGGTGACCCGGAGCAGCACCCTGAGAGGTGTGTATGGAAAGAGCGCAGCTTGGCGGGACCCCTAGCTTCCTTACGGGGAGCAGTCCACACCCCCAGGCGGGTGTCCCCACATGCACACACTGGTCCTGGGCTCCATGGAGGCCCTGTTGACCCCCTGGGGCCCCCCGGGGAAACCGGCACGAGTCCCGTCCGTCTGTAGCAGAGACTAGAGCCCAGCAGCCTGGCTTTTCTTTCCAGAACGATGGTAGCTGCTTCCAGCTTAGGGACCCATAAGTGTCCGGCTGCCCCCCGGGCCTTCCTGATCAGAGGCCGCCCTCTGAGCCCGCTTTGCATCCGGTGACGCCCTGGGCCCTCGAGGGGGCTGCACCTGCTGACCTGTCTCTCTCTTGACCTCCTCAGCCAAAACAGAGTGGAGTACGAGAAGAGGGTTCGAGCACAGGCCAAGAAGTTCGCACCTTCATAAGTGGCGACCGCGCGGCAGCGTAAGAAGGAAGGGATTGGTTTGGCAAGAACTTGTTTACAACATTTTTGCAAATCTAACGTTGCTCTGTACAGTTACTAGTCACCTGGGAGGGTGGGCGGGCGCCATTTTCCATTTCCGCCACTGGCACGCAGTCCTCGACTCGCTGAGCTGCCCGGTTTTTCATACAGGGTCTCTTCCTTCAGTCTTTTGTATTTTTGATTGTTATGTAAAACTTGCTTTTATTTTAATATTGATGTCAGTATTTCAACTGCTGTAAAATTATAAACTTTTATACTTCGATGAGCCCCGAGGAGCTAGTTTCCTTTGCTCGCGGATGCAGGCATGCTTCCCACCGTGTAGCAGTACACATAGCCTCCCGCCGGCCCCCCTCCCGCCTCGCTCCCCGCAGAACCCGGGTTGTGTTGCTTATGAGCCTCAGATCCAAAGGCAGCCGGCGTCTCGTTTCCGCATCACTTCCTTTGTGTTTATATGGCGTTTTGTCTGTGTTGCTGTTTAGAGTAAATAAACTGTTTATATAAAGGTTTTTGTTGCATTATCGTCATTAAGAGCGTGAGGAGGGCCTCGCGGTGCCCGGCCCCCCACGCGGCTGCAGGCCCGAGAAGCATGGCTCGCTGCTGTGCTCGGCCGCGCCTGGACCCGTGTGCGCTCGGCCTGGGCCTCTGTAAATAGTGCTGTGTGCAAGGACGGCGTGTGTCCAGGGCCTGGCCCCCCGTCCCAGGTCTTCGGGCTGCGCACAGAGCAGATGTGGTCAGGTTGGAACAGGCGTCAGGAGCCATCTAAAGCTGGCGCGGGCCGGACCCAGCCCCAGGGAAGACTGTGCGCTGGCAGCTCCCCCTCGTCCTGGCACCTGCTGGAGCCCGCCTCGGGGGGCCTGCGGTCTCCGGCTGCCCGCCCAGCCCTGCCGGCTGCCCCGGGAGCTTCCTGCGCCTGCTGCGCCGCGCTGGCCCCCACCCCGGGTGCGGGCCGCCTGGCGTCAGGACAGACGCCCTGGAGTCCGGTCTGAGGCCACCGTGCACAGGCGCTTCTTTTTTCCTGAAAGACTCTCAGCCCGGTCCGCCTGCGGGGCTGTTCCCTGAAACCTGAGCCCACTGCACAGCTTCCCGAAGTCGGCTGCCTGCTCAGTTGGGAAACGGGTCTGGGTCCCTGCTCAGCCGCGAGGTGCCCTAGACAGAGACAGGGAGGAGTGGCAGGGGCCGGGCCCGGTGAGCACAGTGCCCTGCACCAGCTGACCTCGCCTTGCCACCCTGGGGACCCTCGCTTTCCCAAGCGGGTCACCTGTGGCTCCAGCACACTGACCGAGCCAGGGCGGGAGGGCTAGTCGCCAGGACCCTCGGTCAGGAAGGGCATCTCGACGCGGCCCAGCAGCAGGACGGCAGCGGAAGGTGGAGGTGGTCTCCTACGGCCCCTCAGCCACAGTACGTGCGTGGCTCCGGGTCCCAGTGCCTTGCTCACTCGCTTAGCTGGACATTTAGCGGAGCTAAACGCTTGATGTTGGTGATTTATTTCTAATGCAGAGGGCCTTCCGGAGGCTCAGCTGGGTTGTGTGTTTGTAGCCTCTCCCAGAATGTCTTATTTTGTAATGACTGAGCTACACTTAGTAATAGCTGCACATGTATATGGTTAATATATATGGAAATTCAATATATTTTCTAGTTGGAGCATTCTAAAGTAATCGATGTTTCTAGCAAATTGTCATGATTTCAACTAATGAAATGTCCTTTTGTGCCACAGTCCTTGGCTTAACAAAGATGTGACTCTTGTGACAGGAGAAGTATGGAATGTGTCCATCCTGTTTCTGATGTGAGGGAAGAGCGTGTGTTCCCAGCATGAGGCGCCTAATAATTAGTAAGGAATTGTGGGCAATACATTAACCACTGTATCTAAGAATCCTCTGATTAAAAACATTTCCACAAACTGCTGCCTGCAGGCTGTGTCCTTTTCCTGCCCCGCCCCC